TAAATAATCAATCTTTTGTCTAGCATTACTATTATCTTTTAGTATCTATTTTTATTATTCTAGTTGTCCCATGGCAGCAAATAAATTTAACAAATAAATAAAAATATAATAGATTTTGTAATTAAGACATAGCAGAATATCATTGGTTTCCAGTTTAAGGAACATATAATCTACTTTTTGTAATATAAATGGCCATCCTCAAAGCCTTTCATTTCAAAAGGCTTCTGCATAGCAAACAATCTCATAGGATCTTCAGTACAAAGGACACAAGAAAGATTGGGACTTCTATAATTATGGAATTATGAATCTTTGTTTACTTCCCTCCTGTGGACACGCTTAACTACATAGTGTCACAAAAGAGCAAGATTTGGACTATGAAATGCCAAAGTTTAGGGAGAGCCACAGAAGATCAATTTCTTTTTTCTTGGGAAGGGAAGAATTTAGGCTCTATTCAAAAGTCTAGTTTTTTTTATTTTCCATGACCAAGTTTGTTGGAAAAAGTATCAATTTAACAGACTTCATTGTTTTATTTTTTGCAGGTATTCTTCCTATGTCTCTTCCATCAAGTCTTTGTAATCATTGTGAAATATATTAAAAGTTTCCATTCTTGTACACAACTTTCTTTAAACAATACTGTAAAACATTAGAAATACAGGTTAAAATAGGCAAAAAAAATGTAGGAAAACACCTGTCCACACTAGACAAGTTCAAACCACCAGGATCAGATGGTTTACATCCCAGAGTTCTGAAGAAGCTGACTGCCATGATTATGGGACCACTGAACTTTATTTTTCAAAGATCCTCAAGCACAGTGGAACTACCAGAGGACTGGAAGAAAGCTAATGAGGTTCCCCTTTTCAAAAAAGGGGGAAAATAGGTCCCAGAACTGTAGATTAATCAGCCTGACATCACTACCTGGGAAGATCCTGAAACACATAATCAAGCAATGAATCTGCAAACATCTAGAAGTCAGCCAAGATATTATTAGAAGCCAGCATGGTTTTGTTAAAAACAGATCATGCCAGATAAAACTTACTGAATTATTTGACAAAGTGACTAAATTAATGGACTAGTGAAATGCTGTGAAACTAATATACTTGGACTTCGGTAAGACACTTGACAAAGTAGACCATAGTCTACTTCTTGGTAAGATAGAAAAATGTGGGCTAGATAGCATCACTACAAAATGGATTCTCAAGTGGGTGATCAGCTGCATTCAATATGTAGTCCTCAATTAAACTACATATACATGGAAGAAAGCATACAGTGCTTTTCCAAGGTGTCTTAGGTGCAGTACTCTTCAATATTTCTAGTCATCTAGAGTAGCTCCACAGCAAGATAGAGAACAAATAAATTTAACAAATAAAATAAATATAAATTATTTTGATGGGGAGATAAAAGGAGAACTCATCAAATTTGCAGACAACGCCAAGCTGGGGTGAGGGGGAACCAACCAACACTTTGGAATATAGGCTCAAGATCCAGAATTATCTTGATAGACATGACCGTTAGGCTTTATCCAACAAAATGCAATTCAGTGATAAGAAAAGTAAGATTGTACACTTAGACAAGAAAAACCAAATGCATAGATATAGAATAAGCGATAACTTGCTCAACAGCAGTAACTGTGAGAGAGATCTAGGATTCCTAGTGGACAAGCACTTAAATATATACCAATAGCCTGCTGTAGCTGCCAAAAAGGCCAATGCAACCCTAGGCTGCATCAACAGTGGGATAGAATCAAGGTCATGTGAACCATTAGTATTGCTTTATACTGCTTTGGTAAGACCACACTTGGAATATTGCATCCAATTTTGACCACACAATACAAAACATGTTGAGACTCTGACAAGGAGCAGAAAAGATTATCAAAGAGCTAGAGGTTAAAACATTTTTATGTTGCGGGGATTTGATATATCTAGTCTAATGAATGAAGAGAAGGACTAGAGGTGGCATGAGAGCCGTTTTCCAATACTTGAGTGGAAGTCACAGAAAAAAGGGGGGCAATGTATTCACCGATGCATCTGAGGGCAGAACAAGAAGTAACGGATGGAAACTTATCAAGGATAAGGAGAATTTTCAATCAACAGTTGAACAGCTTACTGCCAGAAATTTTGAGAGCTTCATTAGAGAGATTTTTAAGAAGAGATGGACAGCCGTTTAGGTCTCCTGCTTGAGCAGAAGGTCGAATTAGAAGGCCTCCAATGCCCCCTGGCAACTCTGTTATTGTGTATTCTGTAGGTCCATCTTGCAAATGTATTATCTTTTTTAATTCATATTTTCTTTGTAAGCACATATCATTACTTAGATTTGGATCCTGTAAGTGTTGCGAAATCCAGAGCACTGTGTGATTCAAAGAACAATTGTGCTCCGCTCCACATAATAAAGCAGGAAGATCAATGTGGTTCAACTCACTTAGGTAGCAAAAAAGAAAGCTTCAAAGCACATATAGACCATGTGTTTTTCCTATACTTCCTTTGTTGTTTCATCAATTGGATATAAACTTTGTTATATTAGTCTTACTTCTAGGGAAAAAAAATAGATAGCCAGGTACTCTTGTAAAATTTTACACTGTCATTTTTCAGAATTGCAGAGATGATTATCAGTCTCTTTTGGATCTACCTCTTCCCAGCTTCAGTTTCCAATAAAACTGATCGGAAACTATTTGTGTCTTGCTGGGTTCTTGACATCAAAGGGGAAGGGAGGGGAGGCATACCTGTGGATCTAATTGTGGGAAATAGGGAGGGGGAAGTGATAATGGAAGAAGACCAGATCACCAAACCATTTTGGGACCAGGATCTTCAAGGCTGTTTGCCCTGAGAATGTTATCAGTCTCATACCTCAGGTTTCTCAAAATAATCATCACATTCAGTGGTGGGATTCAATTTATTTTACTACCAGTTCTGTGGGTGTGGCTTAGTGGGCGTGGCAGGGGAAGGATACCATAAAATCTCCAGTCAGAGGTGATACTCTGGACTATGCAAAATTTCCCCTACCGGTTCTCCAGAACTGGTCAGAATCTGCTGAATACCACCTCTGATCAGATTGGCTAGCGTGGGGCTGGTCATGAGGAGGAGGAATTGGGAGTTCCTTTTTATTTTGCGCGAGAACAACAGATTCCGCCTAACTATACTGCAACCAGTTTCTTTCAGTAAAAGTTCCTTTGCTTCAACTAAATGGAGTCACAAGTCTTACTTTCCTGAGAGAGCAGACTGGGGCAGGTTTGACACTGTAACTGCAACTATAAATTTAGCTCCATTAAAAGAAACTACATCCTATTGATCTGATACAACAACTGTACATAAAAAAGATTGGTGTTTTCCATGTATTTTATCATTTGAGATGTTATGAGACAGGTCCATGGGTCCTTATAGATGATATAGTAGGACATGAGATGTAGTTTTGATGGCCCCTTGCTCAAAGGAGCAGACTTTCAATTCATATGAGATTTTCATATATTGGCCCTCCAATATTGGGGGAAGAATATTGAATGTATACTTAATACACTTCAGACCTTGAATCTCTACCCACACATACCCAGGGGTGGGCTGCTTAATTTGATGGTTGGTTCATAGAACCTCCAAATCCCAGCCCATGCTGCCCCCACCCACCCTGCCCAACATTCCCAAGAGCCCCTACATGGCCTGTTTTGGATCCCAGGTAAGCACAGAGCCCGCGTGGAGGCTCGGGAAGGGTGAAAAATGGGCCTCCTGGAGGCTCTGGAAGGCCAGAAATGGGCCTGTTTTCAGCCTCCAGAGAGCCTCCGAAGCCTGGGGAGGCCATTTTTACTCTCCCAGAGGTTTCAGGAAGGCCTCCAGAGCCCAGGGAGGGTGAAAAGTGGGCCTCCTAGAAGTTGAGGAAGGCTGGAAATGGGCCTCCAGTGGGCCTCCATAACATGGGGAGGCTGTTTTCGCCCTCCCAAAGGCTCAAGAAAAGCCTCTGGAGCCCAGGGAGGGCAAAAAAAGGGCTTTCCAGAAGGCCAAATGGACCCATTCCCGTCCTCCAGAGGGACTCCGAAGTCCTGGGGTGCTGTTTTTGCCCTCCCAGAGGCTCAAGGAAAGCCTCCAGATCCCAAGAAGGGTGAAAATAGCCCCCCCACAATGGTGCAGGAGGCCGACTAGGCCACGCCCACCATGGTCACACCCACCCAACAACCGGGCAGAGAACCAGTTGCTAAAGTTTTTGAAGCCCAGCCCTGTATCCACTCAGTAACAGCTGTTATGTGGTTACAGTTTTCTTCTAGTGATAAATTTTGAAGTGGCAAGATTGCATGATAAATAAGGTTTGGGAACGATAACAGAATTATTTGATGTTTCTCTCTCCTCAAGAGCAGTTTACAGTTTAAATCAAGAGTTTAAACTATCAAATAAGATTATCACTACTTGTTTTCACAACCCTAGTTATATTTGCCCTTATAATATCAATGCTCATGGGATAGCAAGCTTAATGGAAATCATAGCAAGAGGAGCTACGAATGTTCCACATGACTTAAAATAACAGAATAGTCAGATCTCCAAGAAATCTAGCTCCATGCTCCATAAATAACAGGACTGATTCATAATAAACCATTAAAATCATGCAAAAATAAGAACCATCCCTTGGAGGAAGATAAATATGACAGTACCTGATTAATTTGGGAATAATCTACACTCAGTGCTTCGACCATTCATCATGAAACTGTCAAATAAAGCTTTAAACTCTGTTTAGTATATGGGTTCAAAATTGAACAATTCATTTTGCTGACCCAAGAATTACATATCAAAGTAGAGTAGCAAAAATGAAAGATACCACCTGAATCTAAAGCAGGGCTGTCAAATTCCCGGCCTGAAGGCCGGATGCATCATGTGTTGGCCACGCCCATGCCCTGTTTAGCAAAAGGGGGGGAAGTCCCGATACATCACGTGACAACACCGTGACGACGTGAGTTTGACACCCCTGATCTAGAGTGAAAAAAGTTTCACTGATGGATTATGCATAAAATCATAACACATTAGTACAAGGTGTCCTGAAGTTATGACCACGATTGAGGCCCAAATTTCTGTTGCTAAGTGAGAAATTTGTTAAGTGAGTTTTGCCTCATTTTACAACTTTTCTTATCACATTTGTTGAGCGAATCACTGCAGCTGTTTAATTAGGAATACGGTTGTTAAGTGAATCTGGTTTCCCCACTGAGACTTTACTTGTCAGAAAGTCACAATAGGGGAATCACATAACCCAAGTCACTGCAACCATCATAAATGTGAACCAGTTTTCAAGCACCCGAATGTAAATCATGTGACCAAGGGGATGCTGCAATGGCCATCAGTGTGAAAAATGGTCATGTCATTTTTTTTCAAACTGTCACTAAATGAACTGTTGCAAATCGAGGACTACCTGTATAGCAGTGGTCCCCAACCTTTTTTGTGCCGCGGCCCGGTACCGGCATCACAAAATCATCCATGGCCTGGTACCGGCATCAGCACGCATGGCAAGGTGAGCCGAGCGACTGGCCAACCAGCCATCCCCCACTTCTCCCCGCCACCTTCAACTCCTCCTTTCTACCTGTGTTGATGGGCTTCGCGACTGCTTCGGGACGGTTGCTTGGCTCACCTTGCCATGCGTGCTGAAAGAATCCTCGCGCCTTAGTTTTGTTTGAAGCCACCCCCCCTCGATGAAACTAAGGCGCGAGGATTCTTTTAGCACCCAAATGCCGCTTTCTACCCAGAAAAGCTCACCAGAAGCACTTTTTCATCAAAACAAGATGGTGGCGCCCAGCAAACCGGCAGCCTGGTAGAAATTGTTCCACGGACTGGTACCGGTCCGGGGACCGGTGGTTGGGGACCCCTGCTGTATAGGACAAGCTATTAAACTTGATTTGGTGGAAATATCTACAAAAGTAGAAAATTTTATTTTAGGTTCTTCTGAATGCCACACACCCCACCACGAATGAGAAGTGAAACTAGTCATGAAGAATAATTGCTATGTAAAACTCAGCAAGGCATTTCAAAAGTGGACCTTGCTATTCTGAAAGTTTGCCAAGACAATCCAACAGCCAAGTTTTATGTTCACTTGCTTACAGGAAGGTCTTATTTGTTTGGACATAATTAATTATTGTTGAAATTTATTTTAGAACTGGTAAAGGCTAAAGCAAATGCAAATCTATTTAACACATTTGATGGTAGACATTTCAGTATTATCTCTTTAACCTCTGTAGTTTTCTCTCCTACCAAAAACACTAAAGGAGAATTTCTTTTCTCAAACCATTCCAGATTCTGTGTTATTGTTAACTGGACTGCTTTTTTATTATTATTATTCCTGTTATCTGAAAAGAAAAAGAAACCACCACCTCATCCATGACTAAAACATATGAAGAATGGTTTCAGGAATTGGATAGATCTAGTCTGGTGAAAAGAAGGACTAGGGAAACATGACAGCAGTGTTCCAATATTTGAGGGGCTGCCACAAGAATAAGAGGGTCAAAGTATTTTCCAAAGCACCAAAGACAAGACAAGAAACAGTGGGTGGAAACTAATCAAGGAGAGAAACAACCTAGAACTAAGGAGAAATTTCTTAACAGTGAGAATAATTAATCAGTGGAATGGCTTGTCTTCAGAAGTTGTAGGTGCCCCATCATTGGAGGCGTTTAAGTAGAGACTGGACAGTCACTTGTCTGGAATGGTATAGGGTCTTCTGCTTGAGCAAGGAGTTGGACTAGAAGACCTTCAAGGTCCCATCCAACTCTGCTATTCTTTGTTCAGTGTCCTAATGAATGAATTAAATATGTTTGCTCCCCTTTTTCTAATCTGTGATTTCAGAAAGACATTTGCACAAGACAAATTCCTTGTGTGTCCAGTCACACTTGTCCAATAAAGAATTCTATTCTATTCTATTCTACTCTATTCTATTCTATTCTATTCTATTCTATTCTATTTAACATTGCTAGGAACTCCCATGTTGTCCTGCCTCTCAATTCCCAAATATTTCCTCCTCCCTTCTGAAATCAAAGCACTGCAGCACCATTTGTTCATTCTGAGGCTCAGCTCTGCCTCTCCTCCTCCCGCAAAGGGGCCAGCCTGTTTTTTTCCATTGTAATAATACTATCAAAGAGGAGCAGGGGGCAGAAGGATGGATTTCTACCAGTCAACTGGGAGCAGAACAGGGACGTTCTTTTCATGAATCTTCTTGATAGCAGTTTTGTGGACACATCCACAAATAGCAGAAGCAGATTTGGAAGTATGGAAAGGAAAAATTGTGGTTGGCTAGAAATGCCCTCAAACAAACTAAATTGGAAGAAAAGGAGATTTGGCAGTTCTTCTACTATAACGTTCATTATCTCAAATAGAAAATTGAAAGAGCTTCAGATACTTGAAACTGACAGCATTACAAACACCCTAATCTATCTCAAAAGAGAGATACAAATTGTGAATAAAAATATATACATATATTGGCTGATACTATTTTTTTTTCTTAAAGTGAGTGCTATTGAAGTAGAAAATGACAAAATTAAATCTCACCCTAGATCAATGAAGCATTTAAAGAATTTTGTGAAAAATGTACCAAGCAAATATTCCATCTGTTGACACCTTAGATAACATTTTACAAATCCAGAACAGGTCACCCATATAGAAATGTTGATGATGGAATCAAGAAGTCATTAGTCTTGAAACGAGAAAAATCTCCCCAGGCTATATGAGTTTTCAAGAGATTTCTATAAAGCTTTTAAAGAAGTGCTGACTTCTTATTTGAAAAAGCAATTTAACACTAGTTGAAAAGCTGGGGAAAAGTATGGAGTTTTATACTGTAATTTAACCAATTATTGTTTTAAATTAAGATTTAAAAAGTATTCATACATTGAATTATCTCATATATACCTATAGCTCAGGTAGATTGCAAAAGAATATATTTAACTGAATTCAATTTGTCATAGTAAATCTAAATCTAACTCTTTAATTTTGGGATTTGTAGGCATAAACAAGATGTTTGGTTGAATAGAGTGGATTTATTTATGGTAACACAGAATTAGAATTTGCAAATTGCCTTATGTTATTTATTGAATGATATGTAATTATTCCAACGTAATTCTGTAATCCACTGCACTATAAGCCATGCAAAGTTCTATAGGACAGTATGAAGATTATGAGTTCAAGTAGCAAGCAATGGAGCTCTTTCAACATGTAGCAAGAGAATATCCATTACTTGTGCTGTTGCATTGTGGGTCAGTTGCAGTTTTTAGGATAATTCCACAAATGGCACATAACAAAAATATTTCCTTTAAGTTACCAGCTGACTTTGTCATTGAAATCAGGATTTTTTATCTCTATATAGTGGATGCACGTGCTTTATCAACCAAAGGAACGTAAGAACTTCTTTATTATCAATTAAATGTAACTGTCCAGCTTCAGTGTTTAATCAGGTTATAAACCTGGTTCTTAAAGAGTAGAGAAGACCATACAAAACAGGTTACTACCAGAACCTCTTACCACCAGTATCACTACAACTACAATCACCACAACTCTATTTTCATGTTTAATTTATTCTCTCACACATTTAATCCTTTACAGCTGGGAGTGTTAGAAATCATGGAGAAGTCTAACCCGAAGCTTATAGGAAATGAGGAAAATACCAGCATAGATGACAGCCCCAAACGTATGTATTATCTTTCCCAACAGTTTGCTGTTTATTCCAGATTACTATAAGAAGATAAAAATAGTACAATAACAAAAATAATGCAAAAGACAAAAATTAACATGGGGAGAGCTTTGGATGCTGTGAGAATCCTTATTGGAATAATCGCAGGTTGGAAGTACTTTTTTCCCATAATTACCAGCTAGATTCTTTCTACCCTCAATGTACCATGGATTTTATGACATCGTGCAACATCATCACATTACTCTTCTTTGCAAACCTCTCATAGTAAAAAAAAAAAAAAAGGCAAGGGTTTGATTTCACAATTGCAATATTTTTATTTATTTATTTATTATTTATTTATTGAGTTTATATTGCTGCATATTCACCCATGGCGACTGGAGGCGGCTTATATTTAAAACAAAAAACAATAAAAACTAACAAAAAGAATCAAAAGAAATTAATAAAGTAGAATAAAACAAAATCTGGAAAAAAAATAAAATAATCATCCCCCAACTCCCATCCCCCGCCCTGATGACAGCAGATCACACAAGCTATCAGTCCTTTAAGGTAAACCAGACTTGGAATCAAGATTATGAATGCTAATTTTAGTTTTATTATAAGTTTACAGTAACAGAAACTTCTAAGTCTGAAAACCTCTCTCCCCCCACCCCTCCTCTTGGTTGTAAGAACTAGGGAGTATTAAATCTGTATTAAAGTATTAAATTTCTTAAATTACATTTCTGCCTCAGACTCGAGTTTCTTTTATCTGACCAATGTTTTGGTAAAGCTCTTTCTCTTGTTCCTCAAGATTATTTCTACTGCCCATTATCCAGCTACCATCTTGGTTTTTTAGCTGCTGTCCCTGGACACACCTAGCTTTTCCTTTTAAAATCAGCTTTCTCAATACAAGTATGGAGCTCAAATGAGCAGATGGGCTCCCTTCCCAGTTCTTGCTCTCTACAGGTATCTTCTTTTAATTTTAATACAAGATTACTTTTCCCAACAAATGCCTGAGAAGATGCTATTCTTATTCTAACATACCATCATTCCATACAGTTTTAATGACCTTATTTTGTTGATGCAAATATATATATATATATATGATCCCAAACCCTCTGGTTTAAGAAAGCAATATAACAATAAGAGAGGCAACTTGCTTTCCAGGTGCCTGAGCAGCTGACAGTGGAGACAAACAATTTATGTTTTAAAGTCCAGGGATAATTGAAAATGACCGCTTTGTTGCTCTTGTCATTGAAGCAAGCAGTGAGGAAGTCTGAGATGATTTGGAGGCTCATTTCAATGCTTTTGATAACAGATGGATAGAAACACACAGAAGTAACCTTGCTGGATTATCCTCCTTGTCCCCACCCAGAGAGTTTAATCCTTAGCCTCTGGCAGGTAAAAACTGTACAGCCTTGATATTTAAGAGAGCTATCAGCTACTTGTGTGAAATAAGCACAACTTTTTCTTTAGAAATCGTCTCCATTTCTTAGGTTTAAGGGGCTCTCTCAGGTGACCTAAGGCTTCTGATGTCTTTTAACTGATCAGGGGCATCTGGGGAGTATATGAATTTATGGATGAAAGACAGCAGACACAACATCACAATGAATAT